GCTCGGTCAGAGTGCGTATGCCTCGAAGCTATTGGAGCGGAGCGACATGGCTGAGTGCAAGCCACGCGTGACTCCAATGGAGGAGCGGCTGAAGCTGACGAAGGTCAGCACCGTGGCGAAGGTGGATGCAACACTCTACAGGAGGAGCATCAGCGGCCTGCGCTACCTAGTCCACACGAGGCCGGACATTGCATTCGCCGTGGGCTACATCAGTCGTTTCATGGAGGATCCTAGAGAGAATCACTAGGCTGTGGTGAAGCGGCTACTGCGCTACGTCAAAGGAATAGTTGATCAGGGGATCATCTTCCCTAAGACCGGTAGGAGTAGGCTGTAGCTCACTGTGTTTAGCGATGCAGACATGGCGGGGGACATTGACCAACGACGGAGCACCTCAGGCGTGCTCGTCTTCCTTGAGTTGGCTCCAATTTCATGGTTGTCGCTAAAACAGAAGGTGGTCGCGCTATCTACGTGCGAGGCAGAGTACGTAGCGGTGGCCACAGCGGCGTGCCAAGTTGTGTGGCTACGTCGGCTGCTGGGCGAGCTGACCAGCGTGGAAGCTCACCCACCAGCACTGATGGTGGACAACCAGCCCGCTATCGCCCTCGCGAAGAATCCGGTTCTGCACGACCGGAGTAAACACATCGACGTGAAGTTCCATTTTCTCAGGGACTGTGTCGATGGAGGGCAGATCATCATCGAGTTCGTCAAAACTGGTTGGCAACTCATGGATGTCCTCACCAAGCCGCTCGGACGCCTTCGACTCACAGAGCTGAAGAAGATGATCGGCATGGAGGGGGTACAAGGGATAGCAGTAGGATTAGGGGAAGAATTGTTAGATAATCTACTGCTTCCTTGTGTGAACACATAGCAAGGGAAGGCGGCGTCGAAAAGGCTCCTTGATGTGGTACTATAGCCGCTGTAGAGGCAGGCACCAAACGGCTCACCTGCCATACTGTAGCCAAATACAGGGACATGCGTAGAAGTTAGTCCTGATGTGTTATCTAGTCACTATTGCAGCAAAGCAGGTGTACTAGGACTAGATGGATAGAGTTGTATATATAGTTTGCCACTTCAACTCAACAAAGGGAGTTCAGATTTGCCATCTTCTATACAGGGCTCCGGCCAACGCTGGTGCTTGTACCGTGTGTGTATGCTCTGTTCTACCTCTTCTTCAACCTCTAGCCATAGTATGTGTGTTCGAACAACGCTTGTTCGTGGTCGGCTTAGCTAGTTGGTGCTCGGCAACACTAGTGGGTGCTCAGCAAGACTGGTGAGTGGTCATGTCGGGTTCATAAACCCGGGGTCCCTCGGGGACCGGCTTCCCCGCAAAAGCTCGACCCAAGCAGACAGCACGCAACTCGTTGGCCAGCCCAAATATATGAGCGACGGGCCGGAGGAGTGATCCAATCTCCGACCGAAAGGCCAGACCAAGGAGGAACAGCGCCCGTTCACCGACTCCGGCCCACCTCTCCGACCGGACCACGCGCTTCGGTCTCCAGCCCGCCTCCAGACGGCCTCTCCGACCGGAAGGCCTGGCCAAAAGCACCGCTTCCAACTCGACCCCGCGCTCTCCGACCGAGGGGATACGCCAAGCACCTACTCACTGTTCTTCTCCAACTGGCACAATCAGAGTCGACTGGAACCAACCGACCGGGACGCCCGCTCGGAAAGGACTAGGGAACGAACGGAGAAAGCAAGGCAGGGCGCGCAAGTCAAACCACGATACCGGGACCATACCCTGTACACCTGCGGAAACCGTACTCTGCGGCTTCCCTAGCACAAACAGTGGTGTAGGCGTCGATATTTTTCCCTATAGTATTATGTGCCATTAACTCCCATACGGTAAGGCACCCTACATGCCTCCGAGCATCGACAGTGTTGTAGGCGCCGAGATTTACCGTACTGAGTGAACGTGGTGAAACTCCTCACGTGCCTCTAGGCATCAACAGTATTTGCAGGTACCGACATCTGTTATACCTGAAGAAGGCAACATAACCTCCCACATGCATCTGACATTTTACAATGACATCAACAATGTTGTGGGCGGCTACCATTATCTTGTACCCGTCGGCATGGGCAACAAAGTTCAGAAGCATACGTACCCTCACCCTCTCACTTGTAAAGCTATCCCCTTTATCTATAAAAGGGAATGCGCTCCCTCCAACATAACTCAATCCCTTTAGATTCATTAGATCGACCAAGTTCACTAGTCCATGACCGTAGAACCGTCAAGTTTGAACCTCAAGCACACGCTTGAACACTTAGCTCGTAGCGGAGCTCCTGTCGCTCTCGGCCCTTCCGACCGGACCTCTCGTACACCCTATCTTTCTCCCTCTCGTTTGTAACCTCACTGCAGACTTCGAACACCTGGGCTCAGGAATAAAGTCACCGACCGACTCAAACTGGACGTAGGGCACGTTGTCTGAACCAGTATAAACCCTGCGTCATTGAGTGCTAGGCCACCTCCGATCATAATGTATGGCAAAACTATAAATATTTACGTGTTGGTTACTTTCTGCACCGACAGGTCAACTCACCTGAGTCGGTGATCCTGTGGGCTAACATATCACCATGTTCGTTTGATCGTATCAGCCATACTTATCAACCATGATACAATGTTTTTGTCTCACAACAAAACAGCATCAGCCGGCTTATAAGGCACACAAACGATCACGCGCGCAGGTGTAGAGACACATACAGTGGCCAACGATTATGTCACAACGGCTTACTCACGTTCTTGAGTAAACACCAAAGCTATTGTCATTCATTTAATGAAGGAGCACGTGCCTTGATGTCAAGGCTAAATGACGTTTACTGCGTGGGCGGACCGGCAATCGAGCTTGGCAATTCATCTTGCTGAAAAGTACAGCAGTCAGCAGTGCAACGTCGTCACTCGTGACTGATCGGTAGAAGAATGCTTACCGAGCTCATGTGTGTTTAAAGAAAACTTGATGGACAATACGTGCGGTGCGGTTCGGGCCATATGTGGTTAGTGCGAGTGCTGATCTGGTGAAATATAATAATCACCTTGCTATAATGCTATCACGCCAGTGTGTGGTGGAACACAGACGACTTGGTTGGTTTGCTGAAAAAGCCATGCGAGCCATGGAAGACTTGGTTTGATCTGTATCTTTTCTGTGGAAAAGTACTTGCTGCCAAAACACGCAGGGCTACCGTTTCGGCTTCCAGAGATACTGAACTTGAGAAACCGGGAAAATATTCTTAAAAAAAAAAAAACCGGGCAAATAAACATGGCTGGCTTTGTCAGACTGCAAAAACATCGCAATCCATTTTGTTGTCTTTACTATGCAAGTAAAATCACATCATATCATATTCTGTCATATACTCTTATAAAGCTAAACCGTACTGGAGATTTCTCTTAACATGAAAGCTATCCACATCAACAAATCCACTAGAGCTTGTAATTATAGCCAACTAGCATATGTAATTATGATAGTTATCTCTTCATCCACCAGCATGTATTTAACTTTTCACATCGATGTATCAACCATTCACCAAAATTAATTTAAAATAATTTCATTCATATAACTATAACTATAAATAATCTAATTTTTTTTAAATTATCTTGAATCTCAACATCAACGCGCGGGGATTATTCTCCGAGTTCTTATGAGTTTCTTTCCATTTCGTCAGGAGCTGAAGAAATGGTTGGTTAGATGTCGTCAGCAGCTGAAGAAATGGTTGGTTAGATGGCTAGAGGCCTGTGTATGGGTGGAGCATGGGATCAGATTTTTTTTATTTGCGTAAGAAAGATCTTCTTTCTTTAAGTAAAAATGCCCGGAGGCTGCTGTCTTTCTGGTCAGAGGTCTTTTTTTTTATCGTCAGCAGCTGACACGCTGTAATTAATACACCTGATCAGTGATCACTGATCATTATTACACAACCATGGAAGCACATCCTGCAGGCTGCAGCTTTGTTCTGCAAGTATTGCCCACCAGTTCTTGAACTGGTATTGAACTCCTTCCTATTCACAATCTCATCGACAAATAACATTCTAAAAAACTAACGGCAGACGACGGTATGTAAAGCATGTTAAATGTCCCAAAATGATATGATATATGTTAAATGCATTCCATAAGTTATTTTTTTCCCTAAACCGTCTGCACTTCGCACTACTGGATTCAGGTTCTTTGCCAAGGCACTCGCCAAAGGCAAAATTACACTCGGCAAAGCCTTTGCCGAGTACAGCACTCGGCAAAGAACAAACGGCAAAAAATTGATCGGCAAAACCCTCTTTGTCGAGTGTCTTTTATCGGGCACTCGACAAAAGCTTTGCCGAGATCCCCAGGGGCACTCGGCAAAGAAAAGCGACCGTCACGGCGCCGGCCCCGTTGATGGTGGCTTTGCCGAGTGCCAACCCTGCAGGCACTCGGCAAAGATTTTTTTTATTTTTTTTTAAAAAAAATTCTTTGCCGAGTGGCCGCTGGCCGACGTTCGGCAAAGTTTGATTTTTTTAAAAAAAATCTTTGCCGAGTGCCCTCTAAAAATTCTTTGCCGAGTGCCCTCTAGCCGGCACTCAGCAAAGTTTGAATTTTTTTTTTAAAATCCTTTGCTGAGTGCAAAGCATGTGACATATGTATGATATCAGAAAGACAGAGTAGCATGACATATCTTCCATAGTCAGGTTCTAGTGCTACTGCTAGTAGCCTACACCGTACAAAGTCTGATATATGAACCAAATCATTGCTTCTTCAAAACTGAAAATTCTAAAGTGACCATGACATACAAATGCATACTATGAGTAGTAAGATTGTCCACCTTAGCCAAGGGTTTCACCAGCACTACTCCACCCATGGACCAATGTACAAAAATTATCAGTATTGCAAACCTGAAAATTAATCAAATACATGACTGTCTGAACAAATCCTTCACCCCAGTTTTTGGGGTTCCCTCCTTTGGCCACAAAGCAAACTGACCAAATCCACTCGACATAAACATATGTGTAGCATAATGCATTACTATTTTCCTGTCATTCTGAACTATTGGCCCTCTCCACTAGCAGTGCTTCCTGAACCTCTTCTGCTTACAGTGGTGTTCTTCAGTATCTACAAAAAGGCAGAAAACTCCAATCAAAATAAGTACGTTTTATTCCTGCGTCACCCTACTGGTAGTGGCCAACATTTTGTCACAAACAAAAACATTGCAGCAAAACATAATTCCAAATTCCATGGTAATATAGAATACAATCCATTAACCAGCAAATCTTTCTGGTGCACAGACAGCTACTAAAGGAGCAATATAATGAATATGCGATTATAAGACAATGGTTTCAGTTCTGATGGTAGAAGCAGTAATGTAGAATAAAGACAGAGCGTTATTGTGTCCATGACTGATGAAGCATAGCAAGTACTAAACCAAATTTGACAATATGATAAATAATTGAACAGTACACAAATTTGTAGAGTGCGTGCCAAATAAGCCAAACCAATGCAAAATGTACCTGGCGGAGCATCTGGTTCTCGTTTTGAAGAGTGGAGAGCCTCTCTTCCATCTCGGAGTTCTTCTTCTCCAGGTCTTTCACCTTCACCTCCAGATCAGTCAAATAAGCCTTCTTCCTCTCTCTTGCCTGTTGAGCTGACACCCGGTTCCTCAGTAATCTTCACAAGTCACGAACATAGCAAATAAAGACAACTTCCAGACCCAAGACTGGATTAACCATAGTACATATACATTGCAATTTAATGCAGTAAATTAAAAAAAAAAGAATAATCCGGATCAGGACAAATTTGACATTTTCCTAGAATTCAAATTAATGTAACACCGATTCAACTAAGAGTTCAAATTGCACACAAACAATGTTTTCCATAATTTGAGATCATATAAAGTAGTTTCCATCCCTGATCGACTAAAATAAAATGCTACACTTGCAAGTGTGCTAACAATTAATACGACAGTGCTGTATCAGTGTGCAGTAGCATTGCTTCTTTAGGGAAGCATTAGCATCAATGTGCTAACAATTATAATAGCATTCTTAAAATAAAGTAATTCCCATCCCTGATTGATTAAAATAAAATAATGCACTTGCATACCAGCTAAACTCTCATTAGGAATATAATGTTGATATGCTCTAATGGCATTAACATTGCTTAGCTTAGGGAAGCATTAGTATTATTAGTGTGCTAACAATTAATACGACTGTGCTGTATTGTACTTCTGGAAAGTATCATACAAACGCTGGAACGCCACCGCTTGTGTCCAAAGGTAGCACTGGTGTCAAACAAACACCACCACTCCAATGTCGCCATCACAAGAGGCGCGGGACCAACACAGATGCTATAAGCATAAAGGAACCATATGATATGTCCAAAACTGTTATCTGCTTCTCTTCTCCCACTCCACTTGCATTGCATTTGTATCCCACCAAACTATTTAGATGAGCAAATAACACATCACTCTACGTGCACATAACACAAAGACATATACATATATAGCCTAACACATTGATTTAATTTGTTTCAGCAGGCGTCTTCAAAGCTATTAATTAATTTGTTTCGACCACCATTTCCTACTGTTTCCCCTAGAAAGACAAGCACAATCCCAACAAATTACAAACTGAGCATCGCTGTCTAATGATCTTACTTAGCAACTAACAATACTGGCAATTACGTTATTCATGCATGTTTCCGAAAACATAGTCTTCCAAGTTCCAACCACATATCGCCACAGGCACTCGTTTCTTATCTAAACCCCACAAAGGGGACCTAATTCTGATGTGGATACAATATGGTCCACTACTAACACTAAATCCAAACATGCATGGCTCATGAAAGATATTTTATTTTGTCAACAAATGAGCCCATGACGCGGTCACTCATCCCTTCATCCAAACAAACCGAATTCCGTACTACCAACTTTCTTGTGTTCTCGAGCAGCAAAGAAAAAAATGAACTAACGTGGAGCAGTATATATATTTATATATCATGCTATCCTTTTTAATTAAACTTCCAAACAGATCGCTGGTGATGCTAGTATCTATGCTACTATTACTATAGGATTACAGGAAATCTCACACACACCTTTTGAGGCGCTTGTGCTCCTTGTCGGCGGGGCTGCGGAGGCGGCGGCGCGCGCTGGCCTGCGCCATGGACGACTGGGCCAGGGCGCGGTCTGCGCCGGCGGCGCCCGGGCCAGCCTCCCTGCCCGACGTGGAAGCGCCAGGCAGCTCCAGACCCAGCTCCGGCACTCTACTTATCTCCTCGTCGCTCTCCATCCCTGCAACTCAATCACACCACAACACATGGCTCAGTTCAGCAAACGAGAGTCAAGATCTTGGAGCGAGAGCTCGAGTCTACTTGCTCGACATCGTTTGCAGTTGCAGTTGCACGAAAAGGAAACGAGAATCTATCGGAAGCGTTGGAACAACCAAGTTCTAAAAAAAGAACGAGAATGAACTGAGAGTGCTGATAAAGATCCAAGAACTCAAGTGGTGATAAAGATTAAACCAAAAGAGCAAACACGAATGAAGAAGATGCAGAGGATAGTTCGACGGCACGGGGTGGCAGAGGTATATAGGTAGCTTGCCTTCCTTGACCTCCATGTCCATGTGGTGCGCGGAGCTGGACGACCTCTCGCTGCTAGAAGGCTGCGAGCTCGCCGCGTGCTCCTGCATTCTAGCTCGCCCTCTCTACCTCCGCCTCCGCCTCCGCCTCCGCCTCAGGCCCTGCAGATTTGCCGCCCGCGCGCACTCCGCTTCTCCTTCCCTATCTCCTCCCCTGCGATCCTTCCTGTCTGTCCTGTCCCTCCCCGTCGACCGTCGTTGCTTTGTATGGACCAAGACTACTTTTTGACGCCACACAACTTTCTACGACTCAGCTCCTCAACAGCACCAAGAATCCCATATCAACCCTTCCTCTTTTTACATCCAGGTCCACGCGCACGGGAAGCACACAGACCGTAGGGGGCTTTACCTCATGGTTTCCAGACGGAAGGGTCCTTTCTGCAAACCCTGCTCCAGCGACAGCATTAATTGCCAGACAGGGTGTTTGGGGTTTTAGCGGCCGCGACCCAGCCGTCCACCCTTCACAAATCGCACGGCCGGGACACCGCCCGCGTGGCCGCCGCCGAGACCACGCGTTCGCCGGCGCCATCTCAAGGCGCGCAGCCCCGCTACGTGGCCGCGCGCCGGCCCCTCGCGCTCGCGCTCCAGCCCGGCTCGCCGACGCGCGGGCCACCGCGCGACCCCGGGCCCGCGCGTCGGTGACGCTGCTCCGCGGCGGGCGGCGACGGGCGCGCGTTTCTGTGGACCGGCCGGCCGCGCGGCGCTTTCGCGTGGCGTGCGTGAGGCTCCCCGGCGCTCCGTGCTCGTGCGCCTGAGAGGCCGAGCGCGCTGGCCCGTCGTCGGCCACGCGAAAAACACACACGGACGGGCGCGTCAGGTGGACGGCGCGTGCCGTGTGCTGCCCTGCTGCTGCGCACTTTGCCGGCCGGCCACGGCCATCACGTGCGTCGGCGTCGTGGAGGTGGAGCCGAGGAGGCAGATCCGCAGATGCTCGATCGGTCGACGCCGTGCAGTGCAGGTGCAGCGCTGCGCCGATGACGATGAGAGGGGTTTTGGGCTTTTGGCTCCGCGACAAAATTAGCAAACTAGCGCTGGGACTGGGATGTGCAGCCATCAGCAAGATTCACTACTACGGGTACTCAGTACTCACTAGCGTGCGTGGAGACGTGGAGTTGTCGCACGCTCACGGAACATTGTAGTTATAGTGGCAGCATCACAGCACACGGAGTCGAAGATGTTAGAACCCTCCCTTGGAATCGAATGTGTATATATATGAAAATAAATAGTCTAATCTGCTAATTATGCTGAGCACGCAAACGTGTATTGTCTTCAGTCTCTTCACGTAATTAACAAAACTGTTACTTAATATCTTTTTCGTATGCAAAAGTGACTTCCTTTGGCGTTGTCATCGCAAAAAAAAAGCATCTACATTTAGTTAACAAACGAGTGAGATTCAATTCTTTCATCATTTCTGTCCATATCTATGAACTAGAGTTTGTCTCAAGTTGAGTATGAAATTGTTTGGTACTTCCTCCGTTCCAAATTATAAATCACTTTGACTTTTTTAATCTATATATAAATTTTACTAGATAACGTATGTCTAAAACTCTAGATACATAGTAAAATATATGAATAAAAAAGTCAGAGCGACTTATAATTTAGAATAGAGGAATTATCAAGCTTTCACATTGAGTATCGTAGGCTAATGGTATAGACCACACTCATTTCTACTCGGTCATAAAAAGCAAGACACTAGGATCCTGTATTATATATTAGACGAATTTGAGTGGGAGTTTCATCTATATTTAAGACTGTTATGTAAGTATTTTTTGATGACGTGACAAAATTTTTAAGAATAGAGAGAAGGAACGAGTTTCATGCATGGGATGAAATTCTTTTGGCTCGGTTACCAACTCAATTTAAGTCATATAATTAAATATCATTATGAAACAAAATAATGAAACTATGCATTGAGAGTGCTAGTTTTATTGCATTCTATATTTTTAAAAACAACACTATAAAACTCTCCACTGAAAATGGTCTTAGAATCTTAGTGATCAAGCAGAGTATATAAATAATACGCTTAAATATAGTGTCTTACTTTGTGGAACGAATTTTAAATGCTATTAAAGGGTTTCTTTGTGGGACGAAGGTATTACTTTGTATATCGAATTATGAGCAAATGTTATCATTATTATCGAACTAGTAAATGAATTTTATTGAATTGTATGCAAAAGTTTTGGTCAGACCCAGGACATTTCTGGTTCTTTATCAACCTTGCCTTACGCATTCTTGCCAGGATGGGCAAGCCATTTTGGCTCTCTCATGTGTTGACAAGGAACCTTTGTCTGCATAAGCCTCGAGGCGATCTAGCAAGAGATCAAAACGAGCAATTTTCATCTATATCTCTATTTGGTGAGGCTACACAGTTATGGTATTGACGAAGGTTCCAAACACACACCCATACTATTTGATAAATAAAAACCCTATATATATGTCACTTAACGGTAAGCGTGGTTATTTCCACCATGAACTATTTACAGCCAAGACAACCCAACAAAACGAAAAAAAATCGGTGGGGACCATCCCTACCAAGACGTGGCGAGGACTGTGCCACAATATCATTTTTAACATACGATGATAAATGAGATGCCCCATGGGCCACCTGTCAGCTGCACAGTCCTCACCACGTCTGGTAGGGATGGTCATCACCGATTTTTTTTTTTTCCAAAACGAAACAGCACGTTGTTAAGGACAATCCCGCGCCGTGGCTGCCGTTGAATCTTCCAACATCTAACAGTGTTGGTGTAAAGGTTTATTGTTGGATAAAAGCTAGTAAACATTAGGTGTTGGTAAGAGAGCGAGTGACCAGACTTCCGCGCCATGTGAACGTTAGGTGTTGGTAAGAAGAGAGCGAGAGCGAGAGTGAGAGTGAGAACGCCGAATGGTCCGGACAGCAGTTTGCCTGTCGCTTAAAGCGTCCCGGATGTGAGATCACGAATCTTGAACTTCCAAGCAAATCAACGAGAGAGAAGTCGGTTATCTTAAAGCATGGTTCAAAAGTATGTAGGCATGACCGCATGATGAAGAGCAACGTTCCGTACGTCCCTCGATCGGGGCTTGGTTGAACACATTATTCACCACGTAGTACAAATTTATTCAGAATCACAGAGAGATTTTATGGACCTCAAATCCTACGTACGCACGAGCCACTTGGTCTCACGATCACCGCTCGCTCGGTTACACTTCGTCTCAAGGATATGATGATCATGAAAGAAAAAAAAAAGACATGGTGATCTTCCTACAGCTTCTTGTTCTTGGCCCGCCGCGACAACGACGACGAGCCACCGGCGCCGGCGCCGGCGTCCCGGAAGATGGCGCAGGGCGCGCAGCAGCCGGCGGGCACCCTCGGCGACGGCGGCTCGGCGGCCGGGGCCACGTCCCTCGTCCGGAACGGCGTGCCTGTGCCAGGCACCAGCAGCTCCTCCTGCTTCTGGTGGTGATCCTTGTGATTCGGCTTGGCCAGCGCCAGCAGCTTCCTCTTCTTGTCGTCGCGATCCGCCGCGCCGCCGCGCCGCAGCATGGCGACGCTGCCGACGCTCCTCGAGTGCCGCAGCTCCGGCTGCAGCTGGCGTCCGGCGGCAGCCTCCTCGGTGAGGAAGCGCTCGTCCCAGACCAGCCCCGACGAGCCCGACCTCCTGAAGGTCAGCGCCGATCTCTGCAGCCCAGCCATCATCGATCCAACTCGTCCAATCCAACGGACAAAACAAGGCAATATATAGCGCAGAAAGGGGAGGTAGATTTTGGAGAAAGTTGGCAGAGTGGCAGGCATCGGAGCAGCCAAATGATGGTGTCCGAGGAAAGCAAAGAGCAGGGCAAGTGCTTGCCTGGAAACCACTAAACCGGCCGAAGATTAATTATTTTTTTTTAAAAAAACAGAGTTGGTAGGAAGGGGTGTTTGGGCGAGCGCACACGTTCCACTCGGTTCCATTTATGACCCCTGGTTTCTTCAGTTGTCAGTGCTAAAATCCAAATCTGACAAAGACCAACGCTAGATGCCAACAAGGTCATGAAGAATTACCAGCATATATAAAACATCAGCGATGATGAAATGCGCAGCAAAATGCTTATTTCTTTTTCCTACTACTACTAGCTCCCTTGGAGCCTTCAGCGATGGAGGCCTCCACAGAAGCTACTACGCTGGCCTCCAGCTTATGACCTCTCACTGCTGATCGCACCTTCCTCAGAATATGTTGCTTCATCACGGCTCTCTCAGCAGTCTGGAGTTTCTTGCACATGTTGAGTCCCTGGATGTACCTTGACACAGCGCCAACCTGTTCAGTTGGCTGGTTCGTATCGTTGCTGGTTCGTGAAGAAGTACTGCTGGCTGGTTTGTGTGAGAGAAAAATACTGTTCCGACTGAAAATTTACGATCGTTTACGACAAGTCACAGCCAAATGAACAGGCTCCGGATCGCCAGCTTTCTCAAGGGCCACAAGCTTCTCGACGACTTGAGAAGCGAGCATTCTCTCAATGCAGAGCTTGGTTCCAACCTCCGCAATGTCCACCAGGAATTGCATGGCTAGATCCTTGGTCTTCAAAGACTTGCGGTCGAGCAAGTTCACCAGTTGCAGGAATCTTTGCAAGACAAGGGACCCACCCTTTGCAAAGACGATCTGATGGAGAGCGTAGTATGCTGAATCCTGGAGCTCATTGATGTTGCACTGCAGCATGTCAATGAGCTCGTGAACAATATTAAGCTCCAGGAACCTATGGACGTATGGCTCTCCTCCAGTGCAGGCCAATTTCATCACCAGAAAGGCGGTCTGAGACCTCACTCGGTTGTTTTCGACCTCTCAGCGTTGTAGCAGCAAAGCCAACCTATCAAACAGGTGTTAGTTGATCGGCCTATTGGACCCTTGTCTCTGCTTCCTGATCGGGGGAGCCCAACCCTAATACGGTTGGTGGGCCCCTGTCGTACAGCACATATAAAAGGTAAGGTGGGGATCAGGACTCGCCTAACGAGGTTCGCCGTGAGCCGCCACCCACCTACAGAGAAAACCCTAATCCGATCCTAAAGCGTGCTGCCAGCGACGGGATGAGCCCGCCACCACCGCCGTCGCACCTCTGCAGGGTCTCCACAGCGCCACTGGTGATCGTCTCCACCGCGCTGGACGGCTGCTACGCCGACGGCACCGGCGTCTCCCCGCTGTGGTGCGTCTACTGAGAAGGCGAGGAGCCTTCACCTGATCTACGGGTTACGGTCACAGAGAGGTACACACAATCGATTCTAACAATGGTACCAGAGCTAGGTTGCCTCTATGTGACTCTAACCCTAATCGGGTAAAAGAAACGGAAAAGGGACCGGGGGTGGCGGAGGTCATTGGAACCCCGGTCACCACCGCCGCCACGGGGGAAAAGTGCCGCACTGACACGGCAAGAAAGAACAGATCCGTGTTCGGATCAGAGAAGAAGTAAAGAAAGGGAAAAGGATCTCAAGAACCCTAACCCTAACCCGCGCAGAAAGCTCGGGGAAGAAGAAGAGTAAAGAACCGAACACTTCCTTTCGGATCTGATTCCCTAACCCTAACCCTAACTGGGTTAAAGAAAGGGGGAAAAGAAAAGGTTTCGGCCTTAAGATGAATAGAGCCGAACCCTAAATTCGAAAAGAAAAGAAATCAAAGAAAAGAAAAGAAATCAATTGAAAACCCGAACCCTAACCCTAGATCTCGATTTCGGATGAACAATGAAACCGAAAGAGAGAAGATCAATCCAAATCGAAAAAGAACAAGGGGAAGAAGGGAAGGGCTGCTGCCTCGCCGGCGTATGAAGATGAACAGTGAAACCCCATCCCGAACCCTAACCCTAATTTTGACCCCAACCCCACCGCGGGTTAATCCCAGAAGAGATAGGGGATGGGAAAGAAGGGGAAAAAGGGGGACGGATCTACCTCGCCGTGCGGCGGGAGAAGAAGAGCCGAGCCAGCCCTTCGCCGACGCGGAGAAGAAGAGCGAGGCCAAAAGGGGGCCGCGGCTAGGCCGCTCGACGGCGGCGCGCTCACCCGCTGGGGAGCGCGCACGCCGGCGAGGGGGCCGGCGGCGGCGCCATGGATGCCCGCTCGGTTGCGCTCGCCTCGCTTCTATGTGAGGTAGAGAGAAGAGAGAGCGGTGAAGAAGAGAGAGAAAGCAAACGGCGAAATGAGCTAGGGTTCCGGGACTCACAGCCGCGGCGACGGTTGTTATACCACCCGATCTCGCCGCTCGGCCGTAGGATGTAGACAGACGGCGCAGATTCACCGGGCCGGCTTTTCGCCCAAAGTGGTGCGCGCGTGCAAAGCCGCATTTCGGCCCAGCCCAAGTTGCGGCCTGGGCTGGGAGAAGAAGAAGCGCACGGGCGTGGCCCCTTTGCCGTTTTGGGCCGAAAGAACAGTACATAAAAGAATGAGTTTTCCTTTTTTCTATTTCCAGCAAATATCTATTTCTAGAAAATGAAAAATAGCTCAAAAAGAAAAATAGAAAAAACAATTTTTCCCTGTGGGAAAATTCAAGAAATTGAGAATATTTTTTCCACTGCTAAAGAAAAAGTATATTCTCCAGTGATTTTGATCCGACGTGATATTTAACTGGAGAAAAGAAAAGTTTTTCCAGTAAATGTTTATTTCCTGAAAATTGATTAATGGATTAAAGAAAATAGAAAAAGCAATTTTCCCTGTGGGTAAAATTCAAGGAAAAGAGAGTTTTTCCACAGCCAAAGAAAAGTTGTTTATACTCCAATTATTTTGAACCAATGTGGTATTTAATTGGAGAAAAAGAGATTTTTTTCGCTGCTAAAGAAAATATTTATTCTCTAGTTATTTTGAACGAATGTGGTATTTAATTGGAGAAAAAGAGTTTTGACATGATTATGATGTTGTTATTTTCTAACCAACGTTGTTAATAACAATATCATAATTTTAATGATTTATGCATTAATTCTACTTCTACCCAACGGTAATATAGAATTAGTGTATAAGAAAAGTTGATAATTTTTTTGATTTATGCATTCATTCTACTTCTGTCCAATGGTGATGTAGAATTAGTATATGAGAACAGTCGTAAAAGTTAATGATTTATGCATTAATTCTATTTCTGCCCAACGGTGATGTAGAATTAGTGTGTAAGAACAATTGTGAAAGTTAATGATTTATACATTAATTCTATTTCTGCCCAACGGTAATGTAGAATTAGTGTATAAGAATAGTTGTATGTTTTGATTTTGACCAACGTTGGAATCAAGGCATACAAATGGTGTTATTTATATGTTAAGAAAAAGTTTGACCTGATTTTTATCTTAACTGATGCGACTGGGTAGTCACCTCACCATGTTCCACTGAGATTGTGGCACCGGCAAGGGAGACAAAAGAGAATGATGCCACTTGGACAACTAAAGAAAGGGATTTTGAATTCCAAAAGATATCCTATGGCTTTTGAGCATAGGAAGTGGGTCACTGCAAACAAGAAATATTTGACGGTGATAAAGAACATGATTGAACCTACAATTATGGGCTCAATCTCAGAATGTGACACGGTCACCGAATACCTCGATAGAATAAAGAGTCAGTTCACTGGCTCTTCAAAGACATATGCCACTTAGCTGATAAAGCAGTTGGTCACAGAGTGTTACTCTGAAAATGGTGGCATAAGAGAGCTCACGATGCGTTGTCGAAATTATGGCACTGTCGTTTAGGCTATATTTTGAGGGGGAGAATAGAAAGACAAGTTAAGAATGATATTCTTCCTCCATTAGAGCTCTCAGATTAAGAAAAATGCAGGGAATACATAAAAGGAAAGTATGTAAAGAAGATTAAGAAAGATGACAAACGAAGCGCAGGAATTTTACAGATTATTCACACAGACATCTGTGGTCAACTTTTCTGTAAAGAGTGTGGATGATTATGATCCGTTCATAACATTCACAGATGATTACTCCCATTATGGCTATATTTATCTAATCAAAGAAAGAAAAAATATATTGGATAAATTTAAGATACTAAAGATTAAGATAGTCAGGTCTGACCGTGGGGGAGTACTATGGTCGGCATACCCTAAAAGAATGGCATAGTAGCCCAGTATTCTACACCGTGCGAATCTTAGCAGAATAGAGTAGCTAAAAGAATCAATCGCACCCTGATGGATATGGTGGACAGTATGATAAGTTACTCCACCTTACAGTTGAGCCTGTGGACGGAGGCGTTAAAACCGACATTCATATTCTCAATAGAGTACCAAGTAAGTCAGTGCCTAAAACGCCATATGAGTTGTGGACAGAAAGAGTACCCTCACTAAACCACTTGCGTGTGTGTGGGGGAGCCCTGCTGAGGCTAAAGTATTTAACCCAAACATTAGGAAGTTATATCCCAAAACAGTAAGTTACCATTTGTTTGGCTACATAGAAAAGTCAAAAGGTTTTCGTTTCTACTGTCCAGAGAGACACAAAGTTTGTAGAAACGAGACACGCTATTTTCCTAAAGGACGAAAAGATGAGGGGGAGCATGCTAGCTCGAGAAATTGACCTTGAAGTGAAGCGGGTGTATGCGCCCACTCCAATGATTCATGAGCCAATTTTCTCACTACATGCTGTCGCTGCACCGACAGTATAAAATACTATGGTGTCAGCACGTGTTGTTATTTCACCTGTGGCAACAATGAATGAAAATGAGGAACCTGTTCTTCAGGATTCTATAGAACCTATTGC